GTCGAAATAGCTATCATGCAAGTCCCAATGTTTCTGCCGGTAATGCCTAAAAGTGGGCCATTTTGGAGCGATATAGGCCAACTTGTAAGGCATCAAAGAGGTTGACGTTTACTACAAGCTACATTTAGATATTCGAGATGACTTCTCGGCCCCTGGATCTACCCTGCTGGTCATCTAATGTGGCTACGGGTGGTGGATGGTAACATGTTTTTTGACTGCTAACTAACAGTCTCTCGAGGCTGAAAAAATATCGACCACGAATCATTGGCGACAGCACGGCCAAAGCACAGAGGACTGAGGTTGGGCATAAGAAACGATCCTAAAAGCTACTATACCCGATGACAGCGCTTTGACCGTGAGCGACCACTAAACAGGTTCGTCTTCCATTGTGCCGAAGCGCTACAGACAACCTGGAGAAATGTATTGGAACAGCTTTTAACGCCCCGCTTGTACCCAAAATTCTAAAAAACCACGAATCAAGCGTCAAATCAAAACACGAGCAGGAAAGCGGTACCAAAGAAATATGGCAGGGATGTAACTGGAGGGAATGCAGCCGGTAACAATGCAGTGCCACTTGAAAAAAGTCTGCATTTTTGAGAAAATATACTTCTGACACTCAGTAACGCATGCGCGAACTGAGCGGGGATGAAGCATAACAGTTGGTCTTGCCTGCAGCTAATGCTGCAAATGGTGTTTACTTCTTACTCAACTGTCAAAGGGGGTATCCTTAAATCTGCATGCAACTTTCCACGAGCGTAAAATAGTGACAAGTGATCTGGAAGACAGTTAGAGTTGTCAAAAGATTATTCAGGGCGGAAAGCGATATATCAGAATATAGTTAATCATCATCTTCATGGCCCAATAAGTGTGTAATGTTTATTATACGAATGAGGAACTTGTTGAAAAGCAAATCACTAGTAAGCGCCTGTATGGGAATTTCTGGAGCATTTAAAACTTCAACAAACAAATAATCACTGACAGGCCCGCTAAAAAGTCCGATTTGATTCGTCTTTAGACCGTAAACTGATGTGTAACTTTCCCTTCATAAAGCTGACTAAAGCAAGGATCTAGCAGCGTTACTATTTGACATCCTGACCTCACAACGTAAGTGAATACGTAATGGATGAGATTGTGCTTTATGATTCAGACTCTGCCATTCACGTATTGGCCGCAAAAATCATGAAGAAATACTAGGTGGGAAGATTACTGTCTCATGTCTCGTCAACAATTGCAGCCGCCATGCTTCCACAGTCGGTGTGCACATAAAACTAAAGGGGATGTGAGATGTATTTCCCAGTTAAGCGAGGACGAGTTGCAAGTTGGTCCTCCAATCTCCTATGGCCTATAACAGTTGACAGCCACCTCTCTTACAATATTTCCCTAAAACTATTTATTCTGGTTACCTGGTGTGTGGGATGGATAATAGGGTCAGGTGAACCTCAAGTGGTGATATACGCCTAAACCTGTTTCGTTTATGACGGTGGTCGAAAGTTCGTTAGGCGTTCGCGAAGAACGCAACAGTGTTTGTGACAGCTACAGAGCAAAGGACGCGTTAATGGGCAAAACTGTACTGAAATCACTTGGATGTCGGTTGTTCGGCCACATAACTAGGATAGTAGGCCGTGATGTCACGTGTTACCGCTCCACACAAAACGATCTCGACAGCGGGCCTGGCGAACTCGGCCTATTCATCTGAGCGGGAAAGACTGGGTGCCCATGGTACAATAATCATATCAATGTCATGAAAAGCAATGTTAAGCCTGCATAGCTTTGGGTGAACGAGAAGCACCGGATGCAGAAGAGTAGCCATGAGTTCACTGAATGGGTAACGACAAAGGTATTTTAACCCCTTTAGCCGTCTTGCTTGGACGATTCAGATAGTTCCGTGATGTCGCAACGAATGAAGATTGCGTTATTTAACACGAAGTGTGGATGCACTGTATGAAGGGCATAAGACTAAGTTAACGTTTGCTTTCTGCATACGATAAATCTATCGCCACGAAACACGAGGTGTTAAGATGGGACACGGTGGTTGACAGAACCTAAAACCTTCGCCTGCAGTGTGCCATAAGCCTGTGCGGGTACTGTGGGAGCAGGAAAGGCGTACGCGAAGTGCGTACGACGACGCCGGTTAATGAGTGCATATAGGAGGCAAGGGCTCGCTTCACGCGCCTGATACACATGGTGCTTCCACTAGACTGGGAATTGGTGACAGATGAAATAAAGCGCACTAAACACACTTTTGCTCGCAACTGTGTATTCAATGTAACTAATACAGTCGGCTCTATGTTGTAAGTTCAATTATTCACGGATGACTGCTTCACTACAGTCAATCGGTGGCAGACTCCGGAGCAAAACTGTGCCTGTTAAGCAAGGCAGTTTGCAGATAGATCACAGAACGGCAAATGCACTCAAAGTTAGCTCTAACCACACCCGATCACACTTTTTATTAGCTTTATTGACGCCGTCGCCAGCCTGGACCACATGCATGCGAGACGGCATCATTTACCATCTTGCATTCACGTCAACGCAGTATATAGCCAACTCATGTCGAAAAGTCAGCAAGAAAGATCGGATACTTATCGGTTCCATTGGTAGATCGTCTGGTCAAGAAGCGATCGAAGATAAAAACTCAAAAAGGGAGAAACATCATTACGGATCAAATGCACCTATACGATCTTCTGAATGCGCAGGCCACGGTCCATATT